TGTGAATATTAACTGAAGTTATTGACTACAATGCTTCTCTTAGTATCAAGAAAGGTGTTAACTTGTACTGACCTGGCTAAGAGCTTTATGGAGTTGATATTGGATTTTCAAAAGCTTACTGTGAATTGGTTTTTTTGAAGTTTTCTTTTTTCTATAAAAAAAAATTATATTGTAACAATTTTCCTTTAATACATATTCTGTAATAATTATTGTAAAGAAGTATAGTGTTTTTAAGATTGTTAACAAGCTGTTATTGTTTTTGAACTATATATTTTTTTAGATGCTAGAGGCTGGTTTTCAAAAAGATTGCCAAAAAAAATTTTTTTTTAAAGAAACTGGGAATCAGCAGAAAGAGTTTTTTTTTTGTTTTTTTATATAGATATAATTTTTTTTTAAAAAATAATAATATAATATATTTATAAATTCTAAGTAATTTTATTTTACAAGTATTCAAGAATATACTGTATATTTAAAATTTATTTAATATTTATAAAGTTATAAACAATTTTTATATTTCAGTTTTCAACTTTCCATACTTATATAAATAAAAATTTTATACTCTCTTGTCAAAAGATATCTGCTAATATTTATTATTAATAAATATTGTGGTAAAAAAACTTATTATTTTATTGCTATACAAATAAATACAGAATTCAATTCACATAAGTATCTACCAAATAAAAGTAGTCATGATTTTGTTTTTTTAGACCAATCTATTCCAACCACCCATTTGTTTGGAATATTCCGATTTTTTTATCTTCAATTAATGCATCAAAATGTTATTAGCTTATAGGTCAGGATATTCTTTAAATATGATTTTGAGGTTATGAAGATTAAGAGCAGGTCTCGAAATAATCAGTGAAGTTACAGGTGTCTTAAAAAGCTTGCTATCTACAATCAACCACTTAAAAGTATAGAAAGGTGTCTTCCCAATTGAGAAATCTCATCAATATGATTTTCTTGCATTTCTTTGATACTTTGACAGTACTCAAGTAACTCAGGAAATTCATTAACATCGATGTGGAGTTCCTCTACTTCACATACACTGCCATCATCATTTTCGTGATCTACTTTTCTTTTTTCAAGACTTACTGATCCTTTCTAATAATTTTATTAATTTGAGAAAAAAAAATTAGCAAAGAATGCTAAGTCAGGAATTTCTCTAACTGCATGTCGCGGATGCTCTCTATGTCCGGACGCTCTCCCGTAGCACAGGGGTATGTCGCGGATGCTCTACGTCCGGACGCTCTCCCCTATGCATGTAGCATAGGGGCATGTCGTGGATGCTCTGTCCGGACGCTCTCCCCCATGCATGTAGCACAGGGGCACAGCTCAACTACTACATATGCATGTCGCGG